AGATGATGGCTAGATGGATGGACGGATGGATGGATGTAAAAGAGGATGCAAGATGACAGAAGATGACGGATGGACTGAATAGACAGACCAATGTTTCTAAACCTTAGGAACTTTAAAATGTGTGAACTTCAACTCCTAAGAATGGCTTGCTGGGGAATTCTGAGAATGACGTCCACATATCTTAAAAGTTCTCCTGTTGAGAAAGACCGAGATCAACCATCGAGTAGATCGGAGAAGACATCCAGAGAGAGAGAGATGGAAAGGAGGAGGAAAAGAGAGATCACAGACAAGAAGACTGACCCACCAACCACCCAAAGTCAGCCCTCTCCCGCCCCCAACGAGTGCACTCTTCTTCGGGCTCAAGTCCTCCTGACCCATCCAATGGTCCGAATTCAGGGCTCCCCCATCTCACGAACCCTCCCTCACCTCCTCGACAGCAGCGCCTCCCTCTCCTTCTCGCAGCCCTTCGTCATTAGACCGAGGCAGTTTCCCACCCGCCTCCGACCCCCCAGCCTCTGCTGCGCAAACCACAAGGGCTGCCTGGAACTGCAACCGCCAAGCCTCTTCGGTGGGGTGGTTTCCTGCCTTTCTACTATGCTAGAAACGCCTTAAATAGGCACAGGTTTGATGTCAAAGGAGGACCTCACCTCCACGGGGGGGCGGGAAATATGAGAGAATGAGAAAAATGGAAGTGCACCTTCTCCCAGGTCCTTTGCAAAAAGTTTTGTCATCTCCCCATTATTCAAACTTTGCCTGCCCTGGTGCTTGTTCCGGTTTTGTTGTGGGTTGTTTTTTATTTTATTTTTTTGCAATTCCTCCAAATGTTGCAATACTCCACTTCAAACGTAGAGCAAAATGCATATTTTAACACGCAAAGCAGACCTAAGGTGTGTGTTTCACCTAGGGATGAATGCCTAGGCTGGTCTCCCTTTCTCTCACCGTCTCATTTTCCTGGGGATTTTTTTTTTTTTCCACCTCCCATTTCTGTATCAGTTTGATAGAGGTATACAGTCCCATATGCGCCCGTATATATTGAGAAATATGCATTCTGTACATATAGAGAGAGAGGCTTTACGAAAATCAGACCCCGTAAGACTTGTGGACTGCAACTCCCAGAATTCTCCAGGTAGCAAAGCTGGCTGGAGAATTCTGGGAGTTGAAGTCCACAAGTCTTACGGGGTCTGAT